GCGCCGGCTCGGACGACGCTGACCTGCGCCCGCCTCCCTCCACCCGGCCCGCCGCCCGGCCTCATGGGCACTGGCCCAATTCTCTCGCCACTTCCGACCACTCCGCGCATTCCATCGGTCCGTGCAGAGTCGGCGTCGACCCGATCGGCCTCGCACTCGCGCTCACCGACCCCGTCACGTGTGCCCATGCCCATCGGCACACCGCCGCTCCATTCGCGCTCACCGGTCGACACCTCGCACTCAGACTACAGCCAGCTCCGTGACTCTTCGCCTCACCATCGGCTCTCGCCGACGATCCACGACGAGGTGCCAGCGCCGGCACCAGTCCAGGCGCTACCCACTGGTCGTGACCAGCAGGCCAAGGCCCAGGCCCAGGCCCAGGCCCAGGCCCAGGCCCAGATGGCGGCCCAGCTGGCCGCGGCCCAGCTGCAAGTCTCGAGCGGCATGCCGTTTGCCATGCCGATGGTTCCGCCGCTCGGCGGTGGCGCCAGTGGCGGGCAAGATTTAGCCTCTCGCTGCAAATCCAGATCCAGACGCTGATGGCGCAGATCATGACCTCGCCTGCAGCCAATCCACACCTGCTCTCACAGCTGGTCCAGCTACAGCAGCTCCAGCAGCTGCAGCTGCAGCACCACCATCAGCAGCAGCTGCAGCAGCTGCAGGCGCACCTGGCGGTGTCTGCAGCAGCTATGTCGGGCTCGCCGCCCGCAGTGGCCGGCTCACCGCAGAGCTACGGCGCGGCAGCCATGGCCCAGGCCGCACGTCCACAGGCTGCGGACCAGAACCGGCAGCAAGCATCGCCGCCGCAGTACCGCCCGCGCAACGCCTCGCGAGACGAGCTCGACGCCTGGCTGGTGACAGTCAAGAGCGCCGGCTTTGATGGTGCGACGCTTGACGACGCTCTGCAGTTTGGCGTAGCCGTCGCGCTGACCCAGACCGGCTCGCGTTTCATCCAAGCCGTTCTTCCCAAGTCGTCGCGCCGGGCGCAAGACACTCTGTATGACATTGTCCTCGACAACCTCGACGCGGTTGTCGACAACGTCTACGGCAACTACGTGGTCCAGAAGGTTCTCGAGGTGGCAACCAAGAGCCAGATCAGCGAGCTGGTCGCCGCCCTCGAGCCGGACCTTCTTGCCACCTCGAAGCAGAAGTTCGGGTGTCGGGTGGTCCAGAAGGCCATTGCCGTCGCTCCCGGGCACGTCCAGCGCCGTATTGTCGAGCTCCTCGCGCCGCACTTTGGCAAGCTCATTGAGCATGTTGTGGGCAATCACGTGGTGCAACGGATCTTGGAGAACGTCGACCCAAAGGCGCTCGGTCCGGTTTTCGATGCTCTCACCGGCTCCGAGGTCCGCTTTGCCTGCCACCGCACCGGCTGCCGAGTCATGCAGCGAGCGCTCTCATACGGCCAGCCGCACGCTGTCGCTCACGTCCTCAGGTCGCTGCTCCCGGTCATCGGAGTCCTCGTCACCGATGAATACGGTACGTACGTCGCGCAGCATTTGGTGACCAACGGGCCGGTGGCGTCGGCCACTGCTGCGGTCATCGACCATGTCGCAGATCGCACCCTCGAGCTCGCCATGCACAAACACGGCTCGCCCGTTGTGGAAAAGGTTGTCGTTGCCGCCTCACCCGACATCCTCGACCGCATGGTCTCCGACATTCTCGACGCCGTCCCGCAACTCATGCAGGATCCCTACGGCAACTACGTGCTACAGAAGATGCTCGATGCCCTCGCCCCGCCACAAAAGGGCCAGCTCGTGGCGGCGATTACCCCGCACGTCGCCCTCCTAGACGGCATGCCCTATGGCTCACGCATCAAGACCCGCCTCAACTGATCTGATCCCCCCCTTGCCTCCATTCTCTTTTCTTTTCTCTCCGCACATACAAGCAGAGCAATGAACATACCCACCGTCGCACGACTTGCAGAACAACCTGCACACCGGAGCACCCACAAACGCACCTGCACTCTCTTCCCCCCCCCCCCACACCTCCACACCACCGCCACGGCACCCCCACACCTCCACCCCCACACACATACATACACACATACTCTCGTACACGTCACCCCCCCACACACACACACACTCTCTCTCTCTCTTGCCCCGCAATGGCGGCACCGACGCCGCCACCCCCCCACTCCCATGCCCGCCCACCGCCATCGCAGCCGCTATCGATGCTCACCCGCCCGTCACCTGCTCTCGCTCCCCGCCCGATGCTCACCCGCCCGTCACCTGCTCTCGCTCCCCGCCCGCCTGCATACAATCCGCGTAGAGTTTCTCCTCTTCGCCGCGGTCTTGCTTCCCCGCGCCAGCCCGTCCCCGGTCATAGCGCCGACGCCGACCCTGTCACTGACTCCGAGTCCGAGTCCGCCGCCGAGTCCGAGTCCGCCGCCGAGTCCGAGTCCGCCACCAGGCCAGAATCCGACTCGGACCACTCGCTATCGGCGCGTACTTTGTCGCTTTCACAGTCGCAAGACGACTACGACGCCGCAGCAAGTGATGGTGACGGCAATGACCGGCTCCCGGTGCAGTTGATGGCCATCGACGAGCTGCGCAGGCGGCAGCGGGACGAAGCGGCTCATCATAAGCATCTGGTTTCGCGGATGGATTTTGTGGCGTACGCATCGGGCGTGAGCATGCAGCGACGGCAGGGCGAGCTGGTCGAGCTGCAGCGATCGGTCCGGAAGAGCATACGCCACGCTGCATCAGAGCGCCGCTTTGCCCAGCAAGCCGCCGCGAAGCGCGCCAGGACTGCACGCGAGAATGCAAAACATGCCGCAGAGCTCGCTCGGCGCACAGCCGCTGCAAAGCCACGAGTTCTAGCACCAGTTGAGCGCCCGCCGGCGCCAGCGCGCCCGGTCTCTCCGCATCCGGGCCATCGCTCGCCGCGGCGACTCAGACTGCGCTCCTCGGTGCGAACCCCGGTCTCGCCCAACACCTCGCGGCGTCATCGAGTAGAGCTGGTCCGGACAAGGATCGCAGGCTCGCGGCTCAACAAGTTTCTCAACGACATCTCCGCGACTTCGCGATTTGAGCGGACCAACGACGACATCATTCACGCCGCTGAGGCGCAGACGCCGTTGGCCGCTCTCCCGCCGATCTCGGAAAGAAGCCATCCTTCGCTGCACGAAGCAGTGCTAGCACCACAACACCCGCCCCAACTCCACGGCCCTCCGTCGCCGCTCCGTCCTCTTGTCCGGATCGCGCCATCCACACCCAGCACTCACCGCTCTCCACGCAGCCGCCGACGTGTCATTCGCCGCTCACCGTCGTCGAACATTCGCATGCAGCGCGCAGTGCTCGGTCAGCGGTCGTAGCCATTGGGCCACGGATCAAGCACAATCTTGCCGCGGACCGAGCCACCGGTGATGGCGGTGTGTGCCTCTTGTACCTGCTCCAACGGCATGACCACATGAACATGCGGCGTGACAACTCCACTGGCTATCAGGGAGAAAATGTGGGTTAGGTCGGCACGAAACGCTTCCGGCTCCTTTGACCGCAACGTCACGACGTTGAACAGCGGCGTGATGGTCTTGGATGAGAACTTGTTCTTGAACTTTGACCAGAGCATAAACTTGATGAACTCGCCTGCAAGCTTGCCTTTGGACTTGCCACGCGAGGCTGTGTAGAAGCCATACGGAATGAGGACGCCTGCTGGATCAGACTTGAGCATCTTGAACGAGGTCTTGAACGAGGCCAGCGAGACGCCGTCAAACACGGCGTCGACGCCACCCAGGTCAGCCACTCGTCTAGCGACGTCGTCGGCCGTATAGTCAAAGCAAGCATCGATGCCGAGCTCGCTACAGAAGCCATGCTTGCTAGCAGACGCCGTGCCAAAGACAGTGCATCCCATCGACTTGGCGAGGACAACCAACGCCGAGCCAACACTCCCGGATGCGCTGTGGACGAGAACTGTCTTGCCCTCACCAGCCTCGAATCCACTTCGAGTCAGCATCTGGTATGCAGTGAGCCAGCCAAGGATGGCACCGGCAGCGGCGTTGGTCTCGACTCCGTCCGGCACCACGACCAGATGCTCGGCATCAAGGAGAGCATACTGCGCGCACCCGCCGACCACCGTCAGCGCAGAGACCCTTGCCCCGACAGTCAGCTCCTCCCGAACACCATCGCCACGGGCCAAGACCTCCCCCACGAGATCATAGCCAATGACAAACGGCGGCTTGCCCGGTAAGTCCGGGTACAGCCCGCGCCGGATCATGACATCGGTGAACGAGGCCGAAGCAGCAAGAACCCGGACAAGCACCTGAGACGTTCCCGGAGCGTCGAGTGCCTCGGTCTCGCGTCGGACTTCCAGCGACGAACTGTCGTCGACTTCAGAGTACTTTGTAAGCACAATAGATGTGTATGTCGGTGTTGCCTTTGCTGCCATTCTGTGGATGGGGGTGAAGTGCTTTTGCTCGTGTCAGCCAGTTGTCTCCAGCACCTGACGCCGTTTGTTGGATCGCCCGTCGCTTGTTTATTTTCCGCAGAGGTGAATGCGATGACAAGGAGAATGTCGTCGTGGGAATGTAACCGACTGATGGCATGCAACAGAGCTAGTAGCGAGACATTGTGGAGGACGTTGCTCCATTGCGGATGATGCTAAACCTGTGTGGGGCATGGTGAGAGTATTTATCATGGTTTGACGCAAAGTAGTGTAAAGTTCAAGTAGTTAGAACTCTGATTATATCTCTCAATTGGGGTTTTAGCTCAGTTGGTAGAGCGTGTGCTTCGCATGTACAAGGTCGCGTGTTCGATTCATGCAAGCTCCAACTTTTTTTTGCCCCGTGCCCCACCCTCGCCTTTTGGTCGGCTAGCGGAGCCCACGCACTTGTGTCGTGGCACGTTTTACACGCCTTTTCCCTTGAGCTACCCCAGCACCCCTCCCGCACCTCTTGTCAACAGCGACGTTCTCTGAGCATGTCGAGCCCTCCTCCGCCTGCTCCAGGACCTTCGTCTCCTGCGCCCGGCCATGGTGACGCCATGGTCATCGTAGTGGCGGTCTACGCGGCAATAGCTACCGGAGTCCTTCTCTTGCTTGCAGGCTGCCACGTTCTGCGGCGGCGGCAACGGCGGCCAAAGAAGATGCGCCAAAGCAAAGGCGATGGCATCGAGCGAATGCCGGGCAAGGTTGCGGTGCTTGTCACCGACATGTCGGGCTTCACCCGCATCACCCGAGCCATGGGCATTGTCCACTTTGCTTCGCTCATCTTTGCTATGCGTGCCACCCTTCGCCCGCTCTTTGTCCACTATGGCGCGCGTGTTATCGAGACCGAGGCCGACAACTTCTACGTAGTGTTTGACAAGCCTGACGCTGCCCTCGCCGCCGCTCTCGAGATCTTCCCGCTGCTGGACGCGTTCAACGCCGAGCATGTCGCCGACGACAGCGACTATCACATCAAGCTCGGCGGCGTCGGTCTCGCCTACGGCAGCGATGTTGTCCGCGACACCCGCTCGGGTATGATCTATGGACCGCCTGTCGACCGTGCATTTTGGCTTGGCGAAGAGGTCGGCGAGACCAACCAGGTCCTTGTGGCTGATGATTTGTACGGTGTAACCCGCGCGCGCTCGATGTTTGAGGAAATAGAGTTTGGGTGGGCGCGGGTGGTGGACGACCACCCGTTAGGCAAGCCGCTTCGCTATCGGCGGATCACCAACTTGGACGGGTTCAACGGCTCATTCCAGCTCCACCGCCTCGTAGAATTGCCTAGCGTCTCGTCACGCGAACTGGCACACTCTGGCTCGCTCTCGGACGCGGCGGCGCGCGCGTTCTTTGAGCGTGCCATCATTCGTCGCCTGGTGTGTCCGAGCCGTGAGCGAAAGCGCATCGATGCTGCCATCCAGGAGCGGTTCGGCATGACTGCCACGGTGGTCATGATCCACATCAACTTTGCGGCAGCTACCGCTGCTGGCGGCGTCGCCGCTGCCATCTCGGTGGCGGCCACTGCCCACCGTATTATCCATCCGCTTGTTGCGCGATATGACGGCAGGATGGAGGAAGACGGTCTGTGGGTGTTTGGCTCGCCGGTATCGGCAGTGGCGGCCTCTCTTGCCATCCGCGACGCACTTGCGGCGTACAATGGAGCGCTTGCCCGCAAGAGTCCGGCTTACATTCCAGTCGCTGGCTTTGGCGTCCACACCGGGAAGATGCTTGTTGTGTTTGGGACTAACGTCCACTGGGGCGATCCCGTCAACACTGCATCCAAGCTCTCAGAGGACCTTGCAAACGACCAGGGTCACATTTGCATCACGCGCGAGGTCCGTGATGCCGTTCGTAAGAGCCTCGATACTCTGGATTTCGTCCGCTGCACTGGATCGGTCTCGGGCGTCGATTTTATCTACTACAAGGTCGAGGGTGCTATCGACAGCAGCTCGGAGAGCAGCTCGTCCCAGCTTGGTGATTCGTCATCAAGCGTGTAGGAGTTTGTTGTCGTCACGAGTGGCGAGTTGGACCCAGGCTCGGACCCGAGACAGATGCTGGCATGAAGCCCACACCCGTGCCTTCGTCGTCGACCAGCATGGGCATGCTCGGATTGTGGCGAATGAGGCCCATCATGGGAATGACGGTTGGAAGCGGAGGCAGGTGTGCAGTACTCACGCGGTTGGAAGGGTGGATGATCCGCCCGTAGCCCCCGCCTACCGCATCCGTATCCCACCACGAGCTCGCGGTTGGCGTCAAGCGTGGCGTCTGGCCCGGGCTCGACAAATTGGATCGAGGACCCGAGCTCGACCTCTCACTATGTGAACTGGACGACTTTTCGACCGCAATGGTGGGCAACTCTGCGGGCTCGATTCGGGAGGGCGACCGGAGCTGGAGCAGCGACGGGACCGCAAAGCGCGCGACAATGCAAAGCGTGACCACGACTGCAAGCGATGCGAGAAAAACATACGGCGAGCCTTCTGGAATGATGTACGCCATGCTCACCAAGGCCATAACTACGGCCACTACCGTGGCTGGAATGGTAAACTGGGCATCGGCCACAGCATGGGTACATCCCACCACCGTTAGCGATAGCAGCCGGAGCGGATGGGAGTGGACAAACTCTCCGACAACCGCGCAGACCGCAACAAGAATCATTCGGAGCACATACCGCCACGTTATGGTCTTGGCGGTGCGCTTCCGCACCACACATGCGATGATAGTGACACCCAAAACAAAGCCGCCAACATACACCGCGAGCACGACCCATGCCATCAGCGCCACCCACAGGTGCGCGCCTCGATAACATACTTGTGACTGTTCCAGCAGCAGTCGCGAGACGCCGCTGTGATCGTCGACGCAGTGCAAGGCTCGGAACATGAGCGCAGTGATGGGAAAAAGCAGAACACCTGCAAGATTGAGCGCAAGCATTAGTTTGCGCGACGATCTGAGGCAGGTGACCATTCGATAGAGCGTGTCTTGGCTCGAGACTTCTGTCGACGGGCCCAGCTCGGACGCGGACGTGGTCCACGACAGCGACATATCCGAGAACACATCCTCAGGCTGCACAGGAGGTAGCGGCACCAGCTGCCGACTAGTCCATCGCTGCCGGACGCAAAATACGCATACTGCTGCAACCACAAACATCAGGCCACAGCCGAGCGGAACGAGTGACCGCGCCAGCCACGATGTACGCCCCACGCTCGATTCAGGAGCAAAAGCGTCGATGTCAAAGAGAACAATCCGGCTCACTCGAAGCAGCGTTACCACCCCTACCGGCACAGAGCCTGCGCCGAGGTGTGCCGTACCCACGTGGATGGTGTAGACAAGCTGCTGGACGGCGAGAACAAGCGCCATTCGCATCGAGCACGTTTTTGGCTCAATGCAAGCCAGGTAAGCGCCTGCCGCTCCGCCCATGGCCAGTAAACATGCCGAGGCGGCGACAACATCGAGAACTACCAGCCATATCGGCCCCGACCGCTGGCATGCGGTGTGGACCAAGGCGTAGCCCGGGGCACAGCTGGAGCAGTACGCACCGGTAGCCTCCACACCACACAGCGTCGTCATTCGGCGGCCATCTCCATCCATCCACACAAGTCCGCTCGCTGCAAGCTGGGCGGCACCATTGCAAACGGTGGTGTCGTGGCACAGCGTCGGAAAATGCATCTCAGAGCGGGCCCAGAAGCCAGGCTCGGGCCAGATCCGAGCTCCGCCAGGGCACAGCCCACCTTGTGGACAGAGAACGCATGCACCATTGACGTAGACTCGGCCAGGCATCACGCAGTCGTGTTCGGTGTACTCGACCGCGACATCAACAACTGAGCCCCTCATGCCGAGCCCGCTCGACGAGTTGTGGGTGATGATAATAATCTTGGCCAGCCCAGCGTCAAACTGTGGTGGGAGCGGGAACTCGACGCCCCATCCACCGCCGTTCTTGTCGCTCATTGTCATCAGGCCAGCTCTAGCCAGCGCAAGGAGCGGTGGCGCAGAACCGTCCGTGCCGTCGATGTAGACGTCGACATCGCCATCAGGAAGAGGGAGTGCCCCATGATACCATGCTTGAGCGCCGGCAACTCCGCTTAGCGGCACGGCCATCGGCGAGAGCGTCCACTGGCCCCGCGAGATAGCAGGCGGCTCGGGCACGCACGCCAGGTGGTGAGGGTCAGGCAAATACGCACCGGTTGCAGAGCACACCAGCTTGCCACCCACCATTCCACCAACCAAAACATACTGATCATCACACACAATTGTGACGTTATCCCCAATTGCGGCTCTTGGTCCGTCCGCAATCGTGGCGTGCGGGATGTTCACAGCCTCGCACAGCTCGACCAGTTCAGCTGTCAGAACACCTGCGCCCGGTGTCAACTCGACGATGCATGAGCCCATGAGGCAATTACCATTGCCTCCGTCCACTGATGCTCGAATGACTAGACCCACAGCGGTGATCGGGGCGTGAGGGTCTAGGCTAGCTCGTTCGGCGTCGAGCCATTGCTGGACAAGGTCGTCGACTTGGCCGCCGGCAAGCGTTGCGTTGGTCGATGACCCGATCGGCAGCACAAACGTATCTTGCATGCCAACTTCACCGGGTGTCTTACCTAGCGACCATGGGGATGACCAAGGCACCTCGTGAGATGAGGCGTTGAAGCCTGAAGCGAGGACGACCAAGCTAATTTCGAGCTCAAGAGCGACAGTGGCGATGATGCGGCCTATGGCTAGAGCAGCCGAGCCAGGCGTTACCAGCCAGTCGGTGGATCCTCGGCGTCGGGTGAGCGGGGACTCGAGGCCGAGCACGACAACACACGAAGCGGTGCCGACGTCTAGCACAGACGACACAAGACGCACCTCGTCCGTTGTCCGCGACATGCAAGCAGCGGTGCCCGGGACGAGGCTTGCGAGTAGCGGCGTGAGTTTTGGCGGGTCAACTGCCTCGGTCGACGTAGCGACAAGGACGTTCACAACCACCGCCGCCACCACCGCCGCCACCACAAACCGGCTCACCTGGCGGCCTGCCCCCCTCCTCTGTCTGCTATCCAACAGCCACGGCTTGTTGGCCTCCCCTTGGCCGAAGCCTGTGCCCCGCCCCGCGCTCGCTCCATGAGTTGGTTGGGAGAAGTGGAGCGCTCCGGGGCAAGTATTTCGAGCCTTTGAGCGCCCCATCCGCGTGCCCATGTCGAGCCTTTTATTGGCAGGTAGCTCGGCTAGTTATTGTGTGTACTCTTTACCGTGACTACGCCGCACCACTGCCAATTGTGTTGCCATCGCACGTTTGCAGCAGCACCACGCGTTGTTCGGAAGCGGCGGAGTGGACACTCTCAACTCGCCCTCCCCTTCCACCCCGCCTGCTTACCCCCCCCCCCCCCCCCCCCTACCAGACACGCACCTGTGTCTTTATTTGGGGCTACACATCGGACTGTTTGTGGCTTTCTGACGTGCTTGGTTGGGCTAGCATGGAGGTGTTTCGTCTTCCTCACGCTTGTTGCGGAAGGCATCGTTGCTGCCGCTGCGGTTTTGCAAGCTTTGTCGTCATCATGGCCATGGCTGTGATCCTTTGTATTGTCTCAGGACCAAGGTACATGGCAGAAGCAGCGACGCTGAAGCAGGCTGTCGGCACGCCATCCTCACCGCTCTTCACCGCCTCGATGGCATCCACAGGCGAGGTTGCCGCAGGCCCAACAGCTTTGGTCTTTGACGGCACGATTTCTGCCGTCAATTTCGGGTTTTCTCCGCCAATTGCGTCAACTACTGGCGCCGTGGTCTTTGCAGAAACCTCGGTCATGTCCTTCTCGAAGATGGACGGTGCCTCGGGAGGCGCTGATGTGCGGACCTCTGTGTATGATGTCGAGGCTTTAGAGGCTGAAGTTGATATGGCAAATCTGCCCTGGGCTGACTATCGTGGCCTCCAGGCGGTGCCCTTGCTCACTGGCGACGGCGATCAGACCTGGACCGACGTTGCGGTCAGCGCCAGCACAAAGTCATTTTCTGGCCGCCAGCTGGCGGCCATGCTCTCATCCTGGGCCCAAGGCCGACAGGAGCAGCTGCGGACGAGTGGCGTGCCGAACAACATTGTGATGATGATCTCCGACGCCGGCACGCTCAAGTGCCCATCATGCTCGCTCTCGGCCTCGCCTCTGCCGACCCTCACCGTCGACTATTATGAGATCTGTCGGGTGGTGACGGTTGCCAACGGCCAAGTCTCGGTCTCACCGGTGACTGGGAGGACCCAGGCTGCGGTCGGCGACTCGCTGGTGGTGACGTGCTCGGCTGGCTATACGCTGACCGGCTCGGTTGATGGCGTTATTCTGTGCACTGACACTGGAAGCTACGACCCGCCGCTGACCGGCATTGCGTGTGAAGCTGCGCGTCCACCAGCGTCACCGCCACCGCCGCCGCCGCCAACATTCGTGGGCCCAGTCCGCCCGCCGCCCGAAGTCGCGCCTGTCGTCGAGCCGACGCCGCCTGGCACCGAGTTTGCAGACGTTACGTTCTTCCTCGAACCTTCGACGTCGCCGCTGGGCGGAGGTGTGGAAATGACCATGCGCAAGGTTCCAGATGGAGCTGCGTATTGTGATCCCACCAAGTACGAGATCGACGTCTACATCTTTGCTCCCGGCGCGCAGCCTGTGCTGCTCCGCGATATCGAAGACCCGGCGCGAGGTGGCGAGAAGCCTGGCATTGTGTTCATATCTCCGGCCTCCAATGAGACCGGGTATGTGGCCATCGACATTGTCCGTCGTGCCAAGGGTACCGAGCAAATCATCGACGTCCACGTCCTGCCATCGCTCCTCAACTATGTCGACCACGACTGCATCCTCCCGGGCTACGTCTTTTTTGACGGAAGCTGCAAGCCATGCGTCGACATCGAGGGAGCTTACTGCCCCGGCGGTGCACGCATGTGGCCTCTGGATGGGTATTGGGCGGCATCGGAGGACGGTCGGCCGACCAAGTGCCGGGTGGCCTCGTCGTGCCCAGGCGCGGTCGGCTCTGCCGGCGTTCCACCGCAGCAGACAGTGACCGGCAAGCGGCGGACGGCGACGTGCCAGGCGAGGTACACTGGCACATTCTGCGCCCAGTGTGCTGCCGGGTACTCCATGGACAATGGCGTGTGCCGGAGCTGTGGCGGCGCGACGGCGTCGTATGTGGAGACTGCCCTTGCTGGTGTCGGCCTCGTGGCGGTCATCGTGCTTCTCGCGCTATCACAGGTCCTGCTCTCGCGCAGCAAGTTTGCGCTCGTCCTTTTTACCTTGCTCTGTCTACAGAACACCGTTTTTGCTGTCCGGCTTGGCTTCCAGGCGATCGACGACGGCGAAGTCCCGTCTTGGCTGCCGACGGCGGTCCGAATGAGCACGCTGATCCTGTTTGATCTTGAAGCGCTGCGCCACGGCTGTGCTGTACCACCGATGTCGTATCCGTCGCTGTACATGGCCTCGCTCTGCATCGGCGCGCTGGTGCCGCTGGCGGCTGTTGTGTTGCGGTACACTTGCCTCCGCTCTCGCAAGGTGGCGCCGTCGCGGGCGTCGACTCGAAGCGAGCAAGGGGTGCGCGAGCGGGCGTCCACGTTGGGCGAGAGCATGGCATCACCGTCGAGCATCTTTATCAACGGTGAGTTTATATCCGGCCTCGGCAGCTCGTCCAGCTCAGACATAGCGTCCGGCCTGGAACTCGGTTACCCGGAATCGGGCTCGGGCTCGTCAATTGGAGCCCACTCGCTGGTTGTGGAAGAGCAGCAGGAGAATCACGGCGGAGCGGGGCTTACCCACCTCGACCTGGCAGCGCTCGACTCGACGATGCGCGACGTTGTCTCGAGCTGGGAGTCTGTTGTGGGCGCAGTCTTTGCCTCGCTTATTGCTGTCTTTCTGCCGATTACGGCTCGAACGGCGCAGGGCCTGATGTGCGTTCGTGCGGGTGATGGGGAGTTGCGACTTGCGGCCGATCTTTCTGTGGTGTGCTTTGACGGCACACATGGAGTCATGGCTGTAGTCCTTGTTCCGATGGCAGCTTTCTTCTGCCTGGGCCTTCCGCTCTGGTCGACGGTGGTGGTTGTGCGGACGATCCGGCGGAGGCAAGTGGCGAGGGCTCTGCGGTCGCGGTACGCGGTGCTTTTTGCGCGGCTCAAGCCGTCGCGGATGTGGATCCGAGTGACGCAGCTTTTTGCGCTGCTCATGCTCGCGATTGTGAGTGTGGCCTTTCCCGACGTGACGACGCAGATGGTCATTCTTGTTGTCTACTTTCTCTTGCTTCTCGTTGTCTTTGCCGTCCTCAACCCCATGGCCTCCAAGTGGGAGACGCGGAGCACGTATCTGCGGCTGGTGGTCGATGTTGGTGCCAGTCTTGCGCTGTTGGCGCACGCGTGCAAGGAGCACGCGATCCTCGCTTCTATCTGCGCCGGACTCGCCTTTACCATGGTCGGCGCGGTCATGGTCGCGCGTTCGCGGCGGAGCTCGGCTGCTGTTGGCAGTCGGTGAATCACCGTCTGCGCTTGAGCATGTTGGTAAAGAACTTTCGTGCCGACGGCTTCTTGGCCTTGAACGGCTTGGCGGGCTTCTTCTTGGCGCCAGCTTTGCCCTTGGCCGAGCCATCCAGCCCCTTGGTCCGTTTGGCTGGCTGGACGACCTTGGCGCGGACGGTCGCCGGCTCGTAGTCGTCGTCGTCATCATCATCGTCAATAAAGTCGTCGTCGTCCGCCTCGTCTAGGCCAGTCGGCACGTAGTCGTCGTCATCGTCGTTGCGGCGTTTGCGCTTGACCGACTTTGCAGGCGCGGGCTTAGCCTTGGCTTTGGACCCGCGCTTGGCTTGCGCCTGAAGAGCCTCCAGGTGAGCGTCAACCTCGTCGTCGTTGTCGGCGATGGCGATAAAGTCCTTGGGGACGCGGTTCTTGCGGCGGCGGCCGTACTTGGAGAGCGTCGTGGTTCGCGAGCGCGCGGCGGCGCGCTTCTGTAGCTTTTGCATAAAGGCGTCGTCGGAGGAGCCGGAAAAATCGTTGTCAGCCGAGTCGTTTGAGTACTCGTACGAGTACTCGTAGGATTCGTCCGAGTCGTGGCCGCGGGCTGCCGACCGTGACTTGGCCTTGGCCACCACCTTGGCTGCCCGTGGTGGCGGGACCGTGAGCGAGATTTTGGTTGACGGTTGCGGCTTGAGGTTCATCTTGGCCGGCTGGACGCTGGTCCGGATCTTGATGGTTGTTCCACCGGCAGCGGGCGCCCTGTCGTCGTCGTCGTCGTCGTCGTCGTCTTCATCGTCATCGTCGTCCGACTCGGAATCGTTCGGCCGTGATCCAAGATTGATCTTGAGTTTGGGCTTGGTCTCGGGCACAGCCGCAGGGGCCTTGAGCTTGATTCTGGGCGTAGTAGTAGCGGCCGAGGCAAAGGCGGCCAAGGCGGCAGCGGCAGCGGCATCCGTGCCCTTGGCGGTATCCGAGTCGGCCTTACCCTGCTCGGGTGCAGACGCGGTAGGAGGAGGCGCAGAGACGGAAAGAGCAGCAGGTGCAGGCTCAGACGGCACCGGAGGCGTGGACGCAGGCGGGTGTGGCTTGGCACTTTGAGGGAACACAGGAGAGAGGCCGAACGAGATACCACCTGCAGCGGCAGTGGCCGCCGACGGCACTGACGAAAAGCTCCCCGACTTTGCGGCGGATGCCTTTTTGTTCTTGGCAGAGACAAGGACCGGCTTGGTGCTCGGCAGCTTACGCGACGAGAGCGGCGGGCGCTTGGGCTTTGGCGGAGCCGCAAGTTGCGGCTTTGCCGGGGTACGATGTTCGGCAAGGACAGTGTCAAGGCGGTCGATGAGTTCTGTGGCGCGAGCGAGGTCGAGGTGGGGTGGGAGATCGTGGACAGACTCTGCGACCCATGTCTTGAGGGCGGCAAGCAGGACGTCGAGGGCCTTGATCAGGTAGTCTGACGGCGAGGAGACGGTGGGGAGGGCGGTGGCGTAGTGGGCAGCGGCGAGCCAGTGAGCGGCGACAAACTGCGGATAGCGGTAGGTGGCGTCGACGCCGAGCGCGTCCTCCATAAAGAAAACCCGCAGTTGCATAGAGACGGCCCCAGTGTGGATAAAGTTACCACCAAAGACAAGCGAGTCTTCCGGAGTATGGACGCCGTGGATGTAACCCGAGGGGATGAGGAGGGTGTGGCCGGCGGGGACCACCAGGGTCTGAAACTCGCCGCGCGGGAGGAGGTCCGGGAAGAAGACCTCAGACTGGCGCTTGGATTCGCACCAGGTTTGGTAGGCGCGGAGATTGGCCCGCGACGGCGGAGCAACGTAGAAGACCTTGCGACCGCGAACGACGTGGTACCAGACCGAGGTCCCGCCAAAGTCGACGTGAAAGTCGGTGTACGAGCCCTTGGCGCCCATAAGACAGTAGTATGCAGCCGGCGCACCGGTCAACTCCATATCGCTCGGCCAAAGGGTCTCGACCCAGCCGACGTTGCGGACAACATGCGGTGAGCGGACGGCGTCAGCGAGCTGGGTCTTGGAGAACTCGAGCGAAATGAGATTGAGGACGCCGCGCTCCTCGCGGAGCGCCGATCCGGGCATGGCGCCCATGTACTCAGCCCACTCGTTGAGCGAGAGCCGCGGCGAGGCCTCCTCCTGCGTGGCGACGTCGACAGCAAGAACCGGCTTGTCCGGCTCGGAGGCCGCGATCTGTGCGGCTACCCAAGCGGCGAGCTCGCCCACGCCCCAGTCCTTGTCATCTGGCCCATAACCCGGGGCGACAACGCCGAGCGTCTCCCGCAACGCCGGGCTCATGACCAGCGGCTCCTTGAAAGCACCGCTCTCCATCCACTCTGCCAACGATTCCGCGCCACCTTGTCCAATGAGAGCATCGAGTTGGCGCTGATCATCCACCGCTCGTCCACCTGGAGCAAACAGCTCGCTCCGTGCCTCCAGATACGCTCCATAGAACTGATCAGCAGGGAGATCGAGCATAGCCTTGGCCGCCGCAGCCGAGAGCGGACCGTCGTCGGTCCCTCCTCCAGCCAGCGGCTTCTTGACCAGGTTTGCCAAGCCAAAGTCCAGCCGCATTGGTATGTATGTATGTATGTATGTGTGTGTGTGTGTGTGTGTGTGTGTGTGTGTGTGTGTGTGTGTGTGTGTGTGTGTGGGAGTGCGGTGTGGCTGCTGTGGCTGTCTACTGGGAGTGCGGTGTGGCTGCTGTGGCTGTCTACTGCGACTTGGTTGTTGCCTCGCTGGTGGCTTTGTTGGTGGTGACGGGCAAGGGGTGTGTAGAGGGGGGGGGGGGGGGGCATGGGCATTGGTATCACTTGTCTCTGTGTAGAACTCGTTGTCTTGTCTTGTGTACCATGGCTGACTCTGCCTTTAAGCTCGTTTCCTCCAACCGCATGTTTGGGGGGCTTATGGCCCTGTACTCGCATGTACGTTACGTGTGCGGGGAAGGGGGAAGGGGAGGAGGGGGGAGGAAGGGGACTGACTCATGGATGGCGTGGTCTTTCCTGGGGCGATGGCTGGTGGGGCGATGGCTGGTGGGGCGATGGCTGGTGGGGCGATGAATGGTGGGGCGATGGCTGGTGGGGCGATGACTGGTGGGGCGATGAATGGTGGGGCGATGACTGGTGGGGCGATGACTGGTGGGGCGATGACTGATGGGGCGATGAATGGTGGGGCGATGACTGATGGGGCGATGGCTGGCGGGGCGATGAATGGTGGGGCGATGAATGGTGGGGCGATGACTGGCGGGGCGATGGCTGGCGGGGCGATGACTGATGGGGCGATGAATGGTGGGGCGATGACTGATGGGGCGATGAATGGTGGGGCGATGAATGGTGGGGCGATGAATGGTGGGGCGATGACTGGCGGGGCGATGGTTGGTGGGGCGATGGCTGGTGGGGCGATGACTGGCGGGGCGATGACTGATGGGGCGATGAATGGTGGGGCGATGAATGGTGGGGCGATGACTGGTCTTCCTGGAGCGATGGGACGTTGCCAATATTCTCGGCGTGTTACGCCACGGGCGTCGAACTGCAGTACTCCAGCGTGCTCAAGTGCACGATGGAGTTCCGGGTTTTCCACCCGCCGACCTCGACAGAGTCACCGGCGCCGGCGTCGACGCCGGTCCTGTACTATCTCTCGGGCCTGACATGCACGTCGGAGAACTTTGCCACCAAGGGCTACGCCCAGGCTGCGGCTGCCAAGGCCGGTCTGGCGCTTATCTGCCCGGACACCTCGCCGCGCGGCGTCGATCTGCCCGGTGAGGACGAGTCGTACGACTTCGGCTCGGGCGCAGGCTTTTACCTCAACGCCACGCGCGACCCATGGTCGCAGCACTACCGCATGTACGATTACGTTGTCGACGAGCTGCCGGGCGTGCTCAAGGCCAACTTCCCCGAGCTGGCTGTTGGCTCTAAGGAGGCCATCTTTGGTCATTCCATGGGCGGCCACGGCGCGCTTGTACTCGCGCTCTCTAACCCGGGCCGCTATGCGTCGGCCTCGGCCTTTGCGCCCATCTGCAACCCAATCAACTGTCCCTGGGGCGTCAAGGCCTTTACTGGCTACCTCGGTGACGACGACAAGACCGCCTGGGAGGCATACGACGCCTCGGTTCTCGCCCGCAGCTACGCTGGGCCCAAGATCGACGTCCTCGTCGACCAGGGCACCGACGACCAGTTCCTCAAGGAGCACCAGCTGCTGCCGGAGACACTTGCCGCCGCTGCTGCCGCCAACGACCAGCTCGACGTCGAACTGCGCATGCAGGACGGATACGACCACTCGTACTACTTTATCGCAACCTTTGTCGAGGATCACATTGCCTTCCACGCGAAGTACCTGCTGTAGCGTGGCACGGAGGAGGTAAACGTGCCTCAGCGGCCGTACTGCTGCTGCTGCTGAGCCTTGAGGCTCGCCAGCTGCGCATCAAGCTCGGCAGCCTTGTCTTGCCAGTTCTCCTCCTTGACCGGGGCGTAGCGCGGCTGCGGCGCGGCCGAAGAGCTTGCGGCCGACGCATAGGTCGACGGCCCGTTGCCCGAGGCATATGTGCCGGCGGCCGACGGCGGTGCGCGGGCCGAAGCCGGCAGCGAATACATGGTCGACGGCTCGTACGCCTTCTGGACCATGCGCGGGCCGGCGGTCCGCTGCGGGACCGGGATCTCCTGCTGGTAGGCCGACACGCGCTGCGGAGCGCACGACTTGAGGAACTCGAGCAGGTCGAGGGTGATGGCGTCTGTGTCGCGGGCCTTGGCCGTCAGGATCTCGATCTGTACATCCTTCGAGTCCGAGACCGCCATAGCGTCGTGGACTCGTGAGACCGAGTCCGGGTTGGCCTTGGCAGCGTCGAGCGCATGCTGCAGCGCGTCGGCCGACCGCCGTTGCGCGTCTGCCAGCTGCGCGTCACGCTGCGCCAGCACGCCTGCCGAACGCCGCAGCTTGGCATGCAGCTCGACAAGCTGCGCACGCTTGACGTCACAGTCGTTCTTGGCCGTCGCCAGCTGGCCCCGCAGCTTCTCCTGCTCCTGTCGCACTGTTGCCAGGTTCATGTACAGCCGGCGTGCAGTCTCCGACTCGCCGCGCGTCGGCAGCGGCGTCGCAAGCTCGGCTTCCAGCTCCCGCAGATGAGCCTCCAGCTGCGCAGCCTCCTCAGTCGACGCCACCAGCTCGTCCTCGAGCGACTGCGCCACCGCATTGGCCTTGGTCAGCTTAGACTGCGTCCGCTCACGCTCGGCCATGGCAGATTCCAGCTGTGCCCGCAGCTGCGCCCGCTCGCTCTCAATCGAATCCAGCTGCGTCTTAACCTTGACCAGCTGCGCATTGAGGCTCTCCACACGGTGCTGCCGCTCTGCCACCGACGCTGACGCCGCCTGGTCCGCCAGCAGCGCCTGCAGCTCGGCGTTCTCCGCCGTCAGCCGGGCCAGCTCGTCCTCCTTCTCACTCAGCGACCGCCGCGCAGACTGCTTCACCACCGCCAGCTGCGACCGAAGCTATTCCTCCCCCCCAACCCCATGTCCGCACCCTCTGCCTGTGAGTTGTCCATCGATCCCCCCCCCCCCCCCCTTTCTGCACACGTTGGTCTCCGCCTCCTCTCCAACGGCCGCCTGCCCGGACCACCACCCTAGCATGCCCCGCCCCCTGGGCCCATCGCTCCCCCCCCCCCCCCCTCCCCCCCTCTCTCTGCCACCACTACATTCCATTCCCACCCCTTCACCCATCCCCATCCCCTTCCCCCCTTCCCCCACCAGCCGCAGAAGCCCCTGTCCAACGGCGGGAAAAAGAGGTCGTGGTCCATCACCACCGCCACCGCCCCTTTTCCCTCTCCCTTCCCCCTCCCCTCCCCTCCCCTCCTCCCCTTCCACACAAAAACAGAACACATACCTGGTTCAGCTCGGCCATGGACACATCCCGTTGCTGGCTCTGTGGTCCAGGCATACTTTCAGAGAGTGCGGTGTTACCTCCTGCAACTGCCTTTGCCACCACTCACCCAACCACCACCACTCACCCAACCGCCCAGCCATCATACCGCCCAACTGCCCAACCACTCGCCCAACCGCCCACCCACTTGGCCCACCCACTCGGCCCACCCACTCGGCCCAACCACTCGGCCCAACCACTCGCCCAACCGCCCGCCCAACCGCCCGCCCACTCACCCAACCACTCGCCAGTCACTCAACCAGCCGCCCCAAGCTGCCACCGGTCACCGGGCACCCGTCCCTCGCCCCCCCCCCCCCCCTCTTTGTCACCACCATGACCGGGAGCGCCACTCCAGAACCGTCACACCCATACAGCAGCAGAGAGGCGGCAACACCTACCGGTGAAGCCTCGTCGTTCCTCTCGGACCTGGACAAACAGCTGTCGTCCATGCAGGCGCCGGCAAGCCGAGCTAGCCCATCGACTGCTGCATCGGCTGCTGCATCGGCTGCTGCATCGGCTGCTGCATCGGCTGCTGCCTCGGCTGCTGCACCGGCTGCTCCCGATGCTTCGGCTTCTCCTTCCTCCGCAACACGCCTCGTGCCTCGCCCGGTGTCGTCCGAGTGGGCCGCTCCGCATCCGGCGCCCTTGCCGTTCGCGTCGTCGTCGCCCTTTGCCCCCTCGCCATCGGCTCTGCTCTCGTCAGAGGCTGATGTCATGCGAGTTGAGGCGCAGGTGGCTGCGCTCGCCTCCGCGTTCCAGGGGCTTACCTCCCACGTCGCCACTCTAAGCGAGCAACTGGTCCGCCTGCAATCGCAGGTCCTCGATCTGCAGCACCGCCAACGTCCGCTGGACCAGTCGCCGTCGGAGGAGCACCCGACAAGGCGCAAGAGTCGTGCTCCTGCCCCGCGTGGCCGCAAGCTTCGTCCACAGCGCAGATCGCAGAGTCCGGAGCGCTCAGCATCGCTCGAGTCAAAGATCAGCGTCTTGATGGATGATGTCCGACGCGTCCTCGACTCGGCCCAGGCTGACGCTCGCGCGGTTGCTGCCGCCCAGGAGGCCAAAATGGATGCCATGGAAACGCGACTGGCTGCGCTCCTGGAGTCCAAGGCCGGGGCCGCTGCCCGTGCCGCACTCCGCGCCCCACCGTCACCGCCTCGGGCCGGCGCACTCGCGCCCGACGCCGCCGCTCGCGCCTCGCTTCGACATGACATCCTTCTCGAGGTCAAGGGCCTGCTTGCCGACACCGTGCCTGTCGCCGTCCATGACGCGCTCGCTCGCCACGTGCCGGCCCACCGTGCGAGAACCAAGGCGAAGAAGCGCTCGCGTGCTGCTGTTGGCGCCGCACTGGCCCGTCGTGCCGTCGAGCCGCGGCGGGATCGCCCGCGACTCCACTCGCCGCCGCCAACCACGCCGCCGCGGCGCGCACAAGCCCGGACCCGAGCTGCACCAAGCTCGCCGCCGGCCTCGCCTCTTCCTTCCTTTACTTCGTTTGCAACTTGGAAAGTCGGCCAGCGCAAGCCCGACTGGTCGCCGTCGCCGGTCAAGAGCCCGCCGCGGTCGTCGCGCCGTCGCTCGGCGGCGCGGCGGCTCTCCGACTCGGACTCGCTGCCATCGTGGAGCGGTGACGAGGCCGCTGATGGTGAGCTTGCCGCGGCTGTCCTCGACGCAGCGCTCACCCAAGACATTCCGGCGCGAGTCCGCGCCGCCGTCACCCAGGCGCTTGCCGATTCGGCCATGCTGGTTGACTCGCACCAGCGCGAGTTGACCATCATGCAGCGCGCTGTCGCTGCGCATCCACCCCTCTCGGCCGACGCAGACATGTACTCTGCCGTCCGCGGCCTTGTCCGCCAGCTTGTCGCCACAGCCGCGAGCAGTCGATCTACAGGTCGCTAAACTTGCGCATGAGGTACGCGCCCATGGCGATCATGACCACGACACAGCCGCCGGCAATACCCCAAAACCACCACACGCCCGCATCCTCGCCAGGAACCTTGACGTTCATGCCCCACAGTGAGGTGATGAGCGTGAGCGGGAGGAAAAGCGTTGCCGCAATTGATAGCTTGGCCATCTCGTCGTTGATCTTCTTCGACGACCGCGTGAGCTCGAGATGGATCGAGGCCAGATAGTTGGAGTGTGCAGCATTGAGGATGTCGCGTGTCGCTTCGAGCGCCTGCAGCTGCTCCACCGTGTGATCCAGTACATCGCGGAGATAGATCTGAACCGCATGAGAGATGTACGCAATCTCCCGCGACGAGAGCGTCAACAGCAGGTTCTTCTTGGGCAACAGCACTCGCCGCTGCTGCGCCTGCTTAGCCCGCACGACCTTCATCCGCCGCAGCATGTCCGACTCCTCAGACGCCGGCAGGACCAGGACCAGATCGTCGACTGCAAAGATTCCGTCCACAATACTTGTCGTGATGCCGTCAAAGACATCAACTCCGACGTCAAGCACTGCGTACAAGATCCAGTCGGGCGACGGGATCCGGCCCGAGTACACCACCGCCAGCCGCCGGATGACAGCTGCTACAGAGTCGACCGGCTCGTGATGGAGCGTCACAATCCCGGTTGCGGTCACGATCGCCATCACCGGGCTTGTTGCCGCAAGCGCGCCTGGGCTCGCTGCCGCGCTCGATGTAAAGCTATCCCGCGATGGCTCATGCGCGACGCAAAAGAGATACGCTCGTGGAAAGGCGTCAAAGACCTCCCACTTTTCGCGCGACTCGCCGGTAAGGCAATCCTCCACTGTGATCGGGTGTAGATGCAGGAGCCGCGCAAGGACACGCATGTCATCTTCGGTAGGCGAGGCAATGTCAAGCCACCACGTCTTGTCCACCGCGCTGTTGCCGCTACTCTCATCGCTTGCCGCAGTCAACAGCGGCGCCAGATCGTCGAGGCTCGCAGTCGCCGCAAAGTTGTTGATGAGGCTGCCGAGCGTCTTGTGCAGCGGCGACGACGTCAGATGCCGCGGTGTTGTGCCTAGCTTGACATTACTCCCGTAAAGGTATCGTGAGACGCGCTGGGTCTCCACAAGCGCGTGCTCAACCGCCAGCACCGACGGAATGGTTTTGCCGTCCAGCTCGGCCGGCCCGTCGGCTTCCAGGTCCATCGACAGCTGCAGCGGCAGGCCATGAAACGAGCTCTCCATGAGCAGATCAACCCGCGCTTCGTCAGAGAGCACCTCGACGCCCGACGGTGCAGCCGCCGGGCTTGCCGCGCTTACTGGCGACGGCGCCGGCGGGCCGGCTGCAACCTCGGTCAGCAGTCTTAGATCGCGAGCGGCAAAGCTGTCCATGTCCATGTCAAACGTCGGGCCGATCGATCTCCGGCGCCGAGCTAGCGAGTGCAGCGCTGTTGGCGACGGCCTCATCGCCACAGCCGACGGCGAGTGCAGTAGAGCATCCCTCCCGCTGCCGTATCCACATTGATGCTGTTGAGCTCGACCGCGACGCCCAGCCCGGCATCATCTCCCGCGGATTCCTCACTCTGCACCCTCCCATCGAGCACTGACGAGCCATTACCGCTTCCGGCATCACTTCCACCGCCGCCTTTGCCGTCACCGCTGTCTGATGAGCTCGACTCCGCCTCGTCGCGCTCAGCACCGCCGCCACCATCAGACGCACTGGACTCTGTTGCCGCCGTCCGCAGCCGCAGCCTCTGCTCCTTCCGAGCGCCACTGCCTTGCATAGCCGGCACCACTGCTGCTCACTCCTTCCTTCCTCGTCCACGTCAGGGCGGCAGAGAGCGGTGCAGGCGTCCTGCGCTTGCGCTCGCGTCCGCTGTACTGTCGTCGTCCGAGGAGTGCGCCGACTCCAGCGGGCCGACACTCACCCTCATCGGATTGCCACCACCTCGGCAGCCGATGAGACGCACATTTCGGTATGGATTTGATCTTCCTCCGACAGAGCTGATGGTTGAGGAGGTGTCATTGTGTGCCATCCAGAGGAGGGCGGGGGGGGGGGGAAGGGGTTCACTTCTTCCACGCTTTGATCATCGCATCAGCTGACGACTGGTTGATGGAGGAAGAGAGGAGGGTGGGATGACGGCTTGGATGCAATGCCGATGGTGATGGTCGAGATGTTGGTACCCCCTCCCCTCCCCTCCCCTTCCTCTTCCAATCTCTGGATCGTAGCCCCCGGGCTGGGCCACTGTCATCGACCTCATCCACATCCGCTCACTCCATCACGCGCAGCTGATCACGCGTGCCGTACAGAGTGGCCGATCCCCCCATCCACATCCGCTCACTCCATTACGCGCAGCCGATCACGCGTGCCGTGCAGAGTGGCCGATCCCCCCATCCACATCCGCTCACTCCATTACGCGCAGCCGATCACGCGTGCCGTGCAGAGTGGCCGATCCCCCCATCCACATCCGCTCACTCCATTACGCGCAGCTGATCACGCGTGCCGTGCAGAGTGGCCGATCCCCCCATCCACATCCGCTCACTCCATTACGCGCAGCTGATCACGCGTGCCGTGCAGAGTGGTGGATCCCCCCAGGGGAGCACTCTCTCTCTCCCCTCCCCACGTCCAGTATGCAGCCATGGAACCACACCTCACCCCCCCTGCCCCCCGCCCCCCCTCCTCCTCCCCCTCCCCCCTCTCACATACATACGCACAGAGAGAGTACAGATGGCGACAGGAGGGACGGACATGGCACTGGCGACGGTGACGGCCAATTGCCTCTACTCAGGAGTGGTGGAGGAGCTCTCGCTGGGCATGGGCTTGCTGCGGAAGAAGAAGAACAAGTGGAGCGAGCGGGTGGCTGTCCTCACCACGCACTTTGATGATGATCCGAGGGCTTCCTCTGCAGACTCGCTCTATCTGCTGTGGTACAAGCCAGAGGCCTACAACTCGCCACCTATCGGCTACCTCCGCCTCAACCCGGCCTGCATCGCCGGTCCGGCCTGGTCTGTCACCGGTGAGACCACCGCATGGGGCCTTGCTCTCCCGGCTGCATATCTCAACTTTGCCTCGTCGGTCCTCTCGCCTGCCGCCGCAAAGGCCTCCACAAAGACCATCCGTAAGACCTCGATGCTCACCGAAAAGCGCAAGAACTCCGACTCGGCCGGCCTGCTCACGCTCTACTTCCGCTGCTCCGACTCGGCGCAGTGCGCAAAGTGGATTCGCCTCCTGGCGCTTGCCACCACTCGGACAGAGTCTCTGTCCGACATCACCGAGCGGCCTGATGCCAGTCCGGCCGAGCTCGCCGCGGCAATGGAGCGCTTTGACCGCCCGCGTGTCGTCGCCTCCATCCGCGCCTTTCTCGATGCCTCGGCTGAGAACGGGGTTGCCTCGGGTGGAGACTCGGCGTCGAGCTCGCCGTCCAAGGCGGCCTACGACACGTTGCTCAGCCCCGACGGGCCGTCGCATGACGGCAGCGGCGAAATTGCCGATCGCGTCCGGCTGCAGCGGCTCTCGGTCCTGCCAGCCGCCGACATGGTTGGCTATGCCTCGTACTTGCAGCTGTCATCGGACGGCTCGGCGTGGCGCACCTTTTACGCTGTCCTCCGCGGGCAAGTTCTTTACTTTTACGACAAGGAGGGCACCGGCCAGGCATCACTCTTCTCGGTTCCTACGCTGCAGACTGTGGCCAAGCCTGTGGGTTCCGCCTATGGTCTGTACGTGTTTGCGCTGGCGCCGGCGGTGGCCACCGGCGCGGTGGCGCGGGTCTTGCTCAAAGCGCCGTCGGCGTGGGAGTACTACTGCTGGCGGGTGACGGTGGCGCAGTCGGCGGCCTTTGAGCCGATTGTGGTTCCGCAGCTCTCGCACCCCGAGGAGTACGAGGCGTCGCTGGACTCGCGTTCGGTTTCAGTCTTTTCCTCAAGCGGACGGCGCATTTTGCGTCGGACGCCTTTGTGGCTTCGCAGAGCGGGAAGAAGACGATCTGGTCACCGCGATACCTCATGCTCGCGGGCTTTCGGCTGTATGTCTTTGAGAGCAAGTCGGCCATCAAGCCGCTGGCGACCCGGTTAGTGGTGGCCAACGCTGTTATCGAGACCCGCGGCGACGGCGTTGACGGCGCCGGTGCGGTGGCCGTCCGTCTTGTCCTCGACGGCCTTGAAAATGACCTGGTGTTCTTTGCCCCCGACACTGAGCTCACCGCAGAGTGGTTCCGCCTCTTGGACGCTGGGTCTAAGGGCCAGCTGCTTTCGCCGACCGAGGCCGCTACGGTCGCCGAACCCGAGCTGGTCAAGGTCTCGCTTGCGGCCGACTCATCGCACTACAAGCGTATGTCGACCCGCTTATCGTTTGCGCCGATGGGCATGGCTTCGGGCTCGATGTCGTCTATGCCTGACGACCCCGAGTTCTCGCTCTTTGTCTCGGATCTTAGTGCGGACATTGGTGGATTCTCGTTCTCGGTTTCTGCGCCCGGCTTGGCGAGCCCCCCAATGGCGGTGCCGCAGAGCCCGCACCTTGTTGGCCCACCGCCGGCGAGCCGGTCGGCACTGGACGTGGTTCCTGTGCGGTCACCATCGCTCAACGCGCCAGTGCCGGCGCACACCGCCACCGCGCGCCAGATTATCTCGGGCAAGCGCGACTCGGAGCTCTCGCTCGACAAAGTGTCGAGCTTGCTTAAGGCATGGTCGCGCCACGAGAAGCGCAAGCGCGGGCTCCCGGTTCCCGAGTCCGACTCGGACTCGTGCGAGTATGAGTACGAGGACGTCGACCTCTACGAGTACGAGGAAGTTACCGACGACGGCGACGACGACGACTCTGCCGGCTCCGGCTCGACGGTTGAAGGCGACACAGCGCCGCCGCACGTCCGCAGAGCTAACGGTCTCGACGACGACGATGACGACGACGGGGCGTCGTCGGGCTCGACGGTCGAAGGCGACACAGCGCCGCCTGTGGCCCTCGATCTGAGCGTGCTCGACGCAATTGCGGCCGAAATGGAAAAGGCAACTGGCCAGCCCTCACAGATTGCGCAGACTGCGAGCCCTGAAGTGGGCTCGGACTCTCGCAGCGTCACGGCACACGGCACGCTCGTCCGCGACACAAGCCCCAGAGTCGTCGCTGCCTACGATGAGCCGTCGACGGGCGCAGCACCCAAGAGCAGGCAAGGGACCTTCAAGCGGGTGCATAAGGGCACCATTCGGCGGCGGGTGCCCAAGGGCCGAGCCCAGGGCGGACCGGTGGCGCGGCAGGGTGTCGACGAGAGCGCGATCGATTTTCTCAAGCGTGAAGAGTCGTCGCGTGCTGCGCGGCGTGCTGCGCGTGCCGAGCGGCTGGCCGAGCTGATGGACTCGGACGAAGCGTAGGCTGAGTTGAGTGTGTTCTCGGCTCTTGCGGCCTCCACATGTGTGTGCTGAGAACAGTATCCTCCTCGCAGCTGGTGAGCAGGGGTAGTATCGAGTGAGCGTAGGCGCCGTGGGTGGCGGGCGGACGGCAGCAAACATGGTACAGTTTATTGATCGCGTTCTCGTGCGGCAGAATCCAATCATGCGTCGGGAACAATCTCCCACAGGTAGTTGGTGATGAAGAACATGGAGTGATGCGACGGGTTGAGGTTGAACGGCTTGGTTGTCATGCCGTCCTTTGCGGCGACAATGCCCTTGACGGTCTCGGCCGCGTAGTCCCACTCAATGTTGGAGATCTCGGCAAAGAGCGAGAGCGAGTATTCGACCTTGGGCGAGACCTTCTTCTGTGCGGCCATGACTTGTGCCTTACGCTCGCGCAGCACGAGCGCCTCATCCTGGATCGCCGTCAGCTTGGCCTCCAGCTCGGCCACCGTCGACTCCTTGGCCGCAGCCGCCGCCTCCAGCTCGTTCTTCTCCGCCTCCAGCTCGGCCAGCCGCTCCTCCAGCTCACGGATCTCTGCCGAGTCCTCCACCCTTCCTTCTGCGTCCTTGACCTCGCTGGTCATCTCTACACCATTTCGCGCACACACACCAATGGCACCTCTGTGAGTCTCTCCCCGTTACCTGCCTCCTCGCGCCATGCCTGTCCCCCTCTCGTCCTCCTGCCACTGCTTCCAAGTCGCGTTGTGCCAAAGTTTGAATTTTGGCGCGCGCGGGTGCTCGCCGACTGAGGCATGTTTGGAGGGAGGAGGGGGGGGGATGGGCTTGGGTAATGGAAGACGTACTCTGAATGAGAGTGCGCATGTCTGTCTTCGCCTGGGTAACCAGCTTGGTCGCCTCATCCTTCAAGGTGATGGCCTGCTGCAGCGAGCCGGCGTCGTCGGCCACGTTGTAGACGTCAAACAGCTCGTTGAGGATCTCGTTGGCTTCGGCTGCCGTTGCCATGCTGACCGAATTGGAGTGAGATGTACCATTCCGACATCGCAGCCGAGTGCCGCTGGCACTGGGCGCCTCGCGCGATGCGCTCATGGCATTCTACGCTGCCTGAGCCATCGGATTGTGAGCGACTGTCGTAGGTGTCTGTGAATGTTACTCGGCGTCCTCGTCCTCGACCTCGGACACAGCTCCATCAACCTCGGTCTCAGCGGCGGCGTCAGCGTCGGCGTCAGCGTCGGTCTCGGCCTCGGTCTCAGCGGCGGCGTCAGCGTCGGCCTCGGCCTCGGTCTCGGTCTCGGTTTCAGCGGCGGCGTCAGCGTCGGCGTCAGCGTCGACCTCGGTCTCGGTCTCAGCGGCGGCGTCAGCGGCGGCGGCAGCGTCGGTCTCGGTCTTAGCCTCGGCCTCAGTCTCGGCCTCGAGCTCAAGCTCAACGCTCGGCTTGGCAACATCGACGTCGAGTGAGGCGATGAGGGCATCGAGCTCGAGGGCCTTGTCCGAGCCGTCGGCCTCGGCAGCGCGCATGGTCTTGTAGACCTTGATCAGCTCGGTCGAGGCGCGGGTCTTGAGCGAAGGGACCGGGCCGTTGGCAGCGTCGGTGAGGAGGCGGATAATGTCGTCGCGGTTGGCGCCGAGAGCACGGAGCGATTGGGCCAGGAAGAACTTGGACTCCTGGATGTCGGCGTCCCACCGGGCGCCGGTGGCCGAGACCTCGCCGGCGTCGGCGCCGGCAGGCGCGCCAGCGTCCTTGACCATCTGCGCAAGGCCCATGTGTGCCGAGTACATCTCGGCCGCGGCCTGGAACCGCTGGGCCAGAAAGTGTGAGCGGCCGAGGAGGCGGATGACGTCGGCCTTGAGCGCATTGTTCTTGTAGTCGTCCAGCTCGCCCATCATCAGCGCCTTGAGAAGCATGCCGGTGGCGTTGTTGTAGTCGGCCACGGTCTTGTTTGAACCGATCATGCCGGCCTCGGCGGCTTTGAGCAAAGCAGAGATGGCAGCGTCGCGGGCGGCGTACACGCTGTCCTCGGCAGCCTTGACCTCCTCGGCGGTCATGGCTGCGGCCTTTTCGGCAGCAGCCGCCCGCTGCTTCTCGGCATCGGCCTGCGCCTTCTTGCCGCCGCTCTTCTCCTTGGCGGTGGCAAACATGCCAGCTGCCCGGTGCGGGAGCCCGAGGCCCATATACGCCTGCCCGGCCATGTAGTACGCCTTGGAGAACTCGGGGTCCGCTGTCGTCGCCATCATGGCGTCGACCAGCGCCGCATCCCACTCCTTCAGCCGCGTCTCGGCAATCGCCCGGTTCGTGTAGCACCGCACAGCCCCGTACGGATGCGGGCCGAGCGAGAGCGCCTCGGTGTACGCCTGCACAGCCTCGCGGAACTTGCCTGCCTTGAACGCATTGTTACCTGCCCCCCCTCCCCCCGATCCCCCGACCGCCATCACGCCACCAATCTATCTGTGAGTCGCCCGATCGACCCCCCCCCCCCCCCCCCCCCTTCCCACCCATGCCGGTATTGGCCAGCGGGCGGACTCGGCTAATCGGGTCGCCGTGGCGGCGGCAGCGACGCGACGTACCCTTCTGGCGGATGGCCTCTGCAGCACGCTGCTGGGGAGAAAGGTCAGCGTCTGCCGGCTGAGGCACTGCGCCAGCCAGACCTGATGCCGAGGTGCTCCTCCGGATGGAGGAGGAGGAGGCAGTCGGTGAGGCAGCCGGTGAGCCGTCCGCAGAGGCCGACGACGGAGGGATGAGGAAGCCACGCGACAGGCCGTCGGCCTTGTCACCCGAAGCCTTGGCCGAGGATGCCGAGGCGTAGAGCTTGTAGTAGTAGTACGCAAGGCCTGCAGAAGCTGCGCCAGCAACTGCGACAGCAGGCCACAGCCACTTGGCCCCGAGTACGCCCCGTCCGCCCTTTTGCGATGTCGACGACATGGTCTGTGTCTGGTGTGTCGGTGTGTGAAGTGGTGCTGCCGCCGGCCGAATGCCACTCGACCGCCCACGAGCAGACGACGGAACGAGTGGTGGCGTGGCCTACTCCGATTGCCCACACCAAGGGACTCGCCCCTCGCCTCGACTGTGGCGCTGTGCTTAGCTATTCACCACTACCCCTTGCTCTCTCTCCTTCTTTCTACGTCTCTCTCTCGCGATGGATGTGGCAGCTGTCGGTGTGCGAAAGAGTTCACGAATCCGGAGCGTCCGGGTTGACGGGCGGGCGGCGCTCGTTGATCGAGTCGAGCTTGCGGGCCGAGTCAAAGCGGGTGACGGCATCCTCCATGGCGTTCTTGCCCTGGATGAGCATGCCCTGCGGGATTTTGTGGCCAGGGGTGAGGCCCTTGAGCTTGACGACGGTGTCGTGCGAGTCGCGGAGGACCGAGAACATGCGTGCGAGGCGGCCGACGGCCAGGATCTTTGCGCGCATGCGCTCGCCGTCGGTCTGAATCTTCGAGGTGGGGCGGGCGGCGACGGCGGCAAGGACAGCGTTGTCGGCCTCGGCTTCGGTCGACTTCTTGTGGCAGAGCTCGATGAGAGCGAGGAGCATCTCGGTGACCTTCTCGGCCACAAACGGGAGCGACCAGGTGAAGACATTCATAAAGTTCGGCAGCCAGTACGGGTGCGGCAGCGCCTTGAACTGGCGAATGTTGATGGTCGACGTCTCGTACTTGAGCACCGCAGCCTTGTTGCCGTACGAGTCGAGGTAGTGAGGAGCCGAGAAGATGGTGATGACGGTGGGGAAGCCGGTGGTTTTGGACTTGCGGTACATGCGGTAGCCCTCGTCCTGTGCCTCGTGCGCGCGAATGATGGAGAGCAAGTGGTTGGTCTCCAGAAAGTGGCAGGCCGCGGCGTAGGTAAAGTTGTACGAGCACCCGCGCGCCGTGTTGGGCGGGAACGGCGGCGAGTGCATGTCAGTGTCAAACTTCTCCAGCGGGTCGGCCCACAGCAGGTCGCACATCGGCCCATGGTTGGGTGGCTCGCGGAAGCGGTCGATCTCCTCCAGGTCCTTGATCGTCTGGATGTCCGGCGAGAGACCACCGTGAACGCAGAAGAACTGCTTGTTCATGATCGCCGCCAGCGGGAGGCAGTCAAACGCGTTCATGAACGCGTCGTAAACCTCCTCGTCGTACTTGTGGTGGCACTCTTCCTTGAACGTAAAGTAGTCGGTCAGATGCCGGCACTCGTGGTTGCCCCGCAGCATGAACATCGTCTCTGGGTACAGCAGCTTCATGGCCATCAGGTACAGGATGACCTCGCACGAAAAGTATCCGCGGTCCACGTAGTCGCCAAGGAACAGGTACCGCGTCTTGGCCGGATCGCCTCCCACCTCGAACAGCTTCAGCAGGTCGTAGTACTGCCCGTGCACATCGCCGCAGACCGTCACCGGTGCCGCCACATGCAGCAGGTTCGGCTCTGCCCGCCACAGCGCAGACGTCCGCGCAATGAGCTTCATGCAATCCTCCTTGTGCAACCGCCCTGTATTCACCACGCACTCGCTCGCTCCGTAAGTCCTCCTCCACATGGCCCACTACTGTCCCCTCGCCCCCCTCCCCCGGCTCGCCTCTCCCGCTTCCCCACGCCAGCGCCAAAAAAAACCGCGCGGACCGCGGCCCACCACGGGCCAGCGGGCAGGGGGGGGGGAAGAGGGGAGGGACTGGCATGGGCTCTAGCTGCATAGCAGACGACTCGAAACTGGCACATGGGAAGCACAATTGTGTGGTACTCTCCCACATCTGTACGAGCCTGTGGATGGACTGAGCAACGGAGCTAGCCAAGGTGATATGAGGTCGGGAAAAGGAACACACACACCGCCAGTGTTCTCCGCCTCCCCCGACAAACGACCAAACGGCGGACGGGATCGGCGGGCCAGACGAGAGGGAGTGGGGGGGGGGGGGGGGGGAGGGGGGGGGGGGGAGGCGTACCCTCAGCATAGAAGTGGTCCTTGAGAAGGTCGACATTAGGCTTGTCATCAGCACCCCAGAGCTTGCTCGAGTCCAGCTTGGTGGTGACTGGCGGAGGGCAGTCGACAATCCGCTCTGTCGTGGAAGGGGTCGCCGCCATGACTGTAGTCGAGTGACTGTCTGAACACGATTGCACTCGACGGCTGCCACTACAGGCTCCATTGCGTGAACGAGAAATAATCCTCAACAATCGTTTGTTGACCAACCTGCCAGCCAGCCGTATCCCTTGCCCGCTGCCTGCTGCCCGCTGCCCGCTGCCTGCTGCCTGCTGCCGGCCCGGCCCCACTGCCCGTCCCCGCCCCCCGCCCCCCGCCCCCACTGTCCTGCCGCCCGTAGCCTCTGCCATCTGTATCGACCACCACCCATCTCTTGCTAGCGATTGGTGGATATGGCTGCGACGGGAGCAAGGGGCGACAGAGCCAAGGTATGAGAAAGGGAGGGAGAGAGGGAGAGGGAGAGTATCCTCATATATATATATGTGTGTGTGTGTGTGTGTGTGTGTGTGTGTGTGTGTTGGGGGACTGCGACTCTAACTCACCACAACCACACTCCAACCACCCCAACCATCCCTCAGGCGCTCGAGGCCAAGGAAGCCGGGGGACTCATGTTCCAGATCGGTGACTACGAGTCGGCGGTGGGTCACTACACCCGCGGCATCGCAGCCGATGGATCGTACCATGTGCTGTACTCCAATCGGGCGGCGGCGTATGCCAAGCTCGGCGAGCACGGGAAGGCTCTGGCCGATGCTGAGACCGTCATCGCTCTCAAACCTGACTGGCCCAAGGGCTACTCTCGCAAGGGCACCGCTCTCATGTTTCTCGACCGGCCCGAGGAGGCGTACGATGCGTTCTTTGCCGGCACCCAGGTTGATCCTCAGCACGGGCCGTGCATCGAGGGCGTCGGCCGCGCTCGCGCTGCTGCCGCTGCAAAGGCCTCCGCGGCGCTGGCCAGCTCGGCCCCGCTGGCGACCACCACTGTCGGCGGCGCCACGACACTGGCGAGCGGTGCTGACGCTGCTGCGCCGGCACTCGATCCCAGCTCGCTCAAGCGCAAGCGGCCGGCGGCCGAAGACGCCACCGAGAGCACTGCCGGGGCGTCGAAGCGCCCGCGGCTTCCGGTTTCACGCGGTAGCCAGCTGCTCATCGCCGGCGCCAGCGCCTTCCGCGCTGCCCTGCCCGAGGCCGCCGACGCCGAGACGGCTGCCGTCAAGACTGCGGCTGCCGACGGCCACACTGTCGCCGAGTCGGTGGTCTGGGTCGAGGAAAAGACAAAGCTGAAGCAGCTCGACGAGCTCGCCCGTCGGTTCAAGACGCTTCACGCCGGTCAGCACCGCTCAGGCCCGCTGGTTGTTGCCATCGATACCGAGCTCGGCGCACCGATCCTCGCCAAGCACCTCGCCAAGATTACCGGCCTGGACACTGCCTCGCTCACGAGCTCGTCCAGTGCTGCGGAGCGCGCCCTGGCCTTTCCGTCTCACAGCACTTCAGGACAGGCAGCGCCACCAGCGGTTGTCGTCGCCTCGCACGCCGCGCTCCTGCAGCCCGGCACCATGACCGCCTCGTGGCTGGTCGTCTACGACCTGCCGACGGCCTCGCCAGGCATCTATCTGGTGGTCTCGAACCAGACCAGGCGTTTCGGGTCGGGCGTGGTCCGGGTCATCACCTACGTCTCGGATGCTGCCTCTCAGCTCTTTACCGCCCTCGCTGAGCACTGGCACGCGCGCTCGGTCATCATTCCACCGCCGCTCCTTCTTTCGCCGTTTTGCACCACCACAGTCGTCCCGCGGCCGGCAACAGCGTACACCACGGTGTCGGGTGGGGCCGCTGGCGAGGCCGTCAACCGCATCGGCGCCATCTCGTGACTTTACACCTCGGTCTCGTCGTCGAGCATGCCGTGCATGATGTCGGCCATCCGCCCCACCGCACGGACCGAAGCCTCTGACGGCAGGCTGTCGACAATGCCCGCCAGCGCCTGCAGCCGGCCCACCAGCCGCTCCACCGACGCCGTCGTCTCGCTCTGCAGGCCGCGCAGCAGCTGCCGCGCAGTCGCGACCTCGACGTCGTCGTGCCCGCCATCGGCCTTGGCCATCGCCATCTCGACAATCGGCAGTGCGCGGAGCTCTGCAGCCGAGAGCGCGTCCAGAGCCTTGGCACGCGCCTCGGCGCTGTCGGCGAGCAGCTGCGGGACCGCAATAAGCGTTGCCGCCAAAGCAGTCACCATGTCGTAAATGTCCGATGAAATGATGTGGCCCTGCGAGGCCCGCAGCCAGACGGGGCCGAAGACTTCGCCGAGCGAGGACGGGCTGGACGCTCCGGCCTCGGGCGCGCTAGCAACCCGGTGCAGGACCGTGCACACTGCCCGCGCCGTCGACCGGTGCGCCTGCGCCAGCCGACCCAGCACGTCTGCAAAGACCTTGAGCTCGGAGCCAATCGATGCGGCATACGGCAGATCGCCCACCAGAGCGTCGAGCGGAACCATCAGCGAGGCGTCGAGGAGCGGGACCGAGAGTTCGTTGAAAAAGGTCTTGACCAGCCAGACTACGTCGACAGGGTCGGCGCTCGGGTCGAACACCGGCCGCTTGCCCGCATTGATCGCCTCCATCACCCGCTGCAGCTGCGCGACCCGGTAGAACGGCGGGTTGCGCTCAAAAACCCCGTCGAGGCGGGCCACCTCCTGGTGCGTCAGCCACACAAGCCACGCCTCCAGCACCCGCGGCACGTTCTGAGGAAGTCCATCGCTCGCGTCGACGTCGCCGGTCAGCTCGTCGTCCATCAGCAGCTGCTGCAGCGTGGCACCAAAGACCGGGCCGCCATCAAAGTCGAGCTCGTCATCGTCGTCGCTACCCATGCTCAGCCCGCTGAGCGAGTTGCCCCGCTCAAATCCACCGTCGCCGTCGTCGCCCACAGCCTCGTACAGCTCGGCCAGGTACGCGCGCAGCTTGTCGGCGTCTTTGGCCACAATGCCGGCCAACTTTCGCCATCCGGCCTCTTCCTCCTTGGCAGCCAGGGCACCGAGGTGAACCGATCGCGCCGATGTCGCGCTCTTAGGCACAACCGCCACCTCGTCAAAGAACTGGGTGATCGACGAGACATTTGCATCAATGAACGCGTTGAGCGGCAGCAGATGCGGCTTGGTCGACGTGAATCGCACGCCGTTGGCCAAATTCTGCAGCGTCTTGGAAATGGCCAGCAGGGAGCTGCGGAGCCGTGGCTCAGTCACATCCAGCTCGAGGTGGACCGGCCACGAGGACGGCGCGTTGAGGAACGGGCAGACAATGCGGAGAAAGATGTACCCACCAACGGCAATCGACCGCATCTGTGGAAACTTGCGCGACGTGGCGCGGTGAAGCAGGTGTGCCACCTCGCGCATCTCGCGCGGCATATCGCGGACAGAGGTGAAGAGACTGTCCAGAAAGTGCTGAGCCATCTCGTGGAGCGTCGCTAGGTTGGCCCGGATCTTCTTCGACTTGACCTTGGTCTTGCTCGGATCTACTTCGAGACCAGCTTCGCCTGCTGCCTCGACCGCGTCGGCCAGTAGCCGCAAGACTGGCGTGAACGTCTGCTCCAGGTACCGACCGCAAATTCGCTTGGTATACGCCACCATGAGCTTGGTCGACATCGAGTTGCCACGGAAGAGCGTGCCCGGCGAGAGGGTGACGTCGACTTCGCATGTCACTACCATCCGGATGAGCTCGATCATGTCGCCCGAGTCCATAAATAGCGTCACCAGCGTGTCGACAAGGCTGGCGGCCTCGGAGACCTTGAACACCTGCGAGGCCGTGGCCACGATGGGAAAGCCAGGCGCAAGCATGGCAGCCTTAAACGCTTCCACATCGAGCGCGTCCGCGTCGCCGCTTCCGAGTGCATCTAATGCCTGCTTGAGTGTGGCCACCGTCTCCCGCGCATCGACGCCATGCTGCTTGCTGTGGTTCTCGTTCGACGCCGCGCCGGACTCGGCGCCCGAGTCGGATGCGGCATCCAGGAGCGCCACAGACGCGTGGATCGACGCAGCGGCCTCTGGCAGCGTCCACGACGTCGCATTGGTCGCCGTGTTGACATACACGTACCGCCCGTAGTTTTCGTCATAGTGTGCCTCCCAGCCCGAGGGCAGGTCTGTCGGCATCGGCCCGCGCCCGCCGCGGACGGCCACGCTGTCGCCGGCGGCAGTCTTGGTTGCCTCGGCGTATCGCCCGGCTGCCGCAAGCAGCAGGCCCTCCAGCGATGGGTCCAGCGCTGCGTTGGGCAGCGCCGCAACAACTGCAGGCTGCTCGGTGAGAATGCCCTCGGCAAAGACCAGGAGCGCGCTGGTCGCCAGCCGCGCGGCCTCGCCTTGCTCACGACTCGGATGCAGGAGCAGCGGCGCTAGCCACGCCACTGCCGACGCCAGCGTCGCCCCGTTGCTGGCGCTATTATCGATAGCTTTGGAGACAAGCAGAAGCACAAGCGTTAGCGTGTTTCGCCGCGCGGCAGGCACGCCCCAGACCACCGACCGCATGGCGGCGGGCGTCAGCTGCTGGCGCATCAGCTTGGCCGCCGCCGCACGGGTCATCAGCGGACGCGGCAGCGCCGAAAGCCACCGTTGCAGGACCACAAACGGCGCACACGAATGAAGCCTTTCCAGCGCATGCTCGACCGCCTTCTGCCTCTCACCAGCTTCATCCCCATCATCGCCACCAGCCGCATCAATGTCATCAAGAAGAGCCGTCAGTGGCGCCGTCAGCGCCTCTGTTGGCGGCGCGAGAATGTTTGAAGCCGAGAGGTCTGGCCGGGCGGGAGGGGAGGGGGGAGGGGGGGGGGGGATGGATAAGGAGAAAAGGGAGGGAGAGTTAGTTGAAGGAGAGGCGGTGACAGAGGTGGTTATGGCTGTGGTTATGGCTGTGGCTGTGGCAGTCGTCGTCACTGTCTGTATACGTACTTGCCAACGCCGCACGGACGGCTGACTTGACGACCCATGGCACACCATTGGTATCTGCGGTGAGGTTCTCAAAAGGAGCACCGAACACCACCATGTGAGTGAAGAAGTGTATGTGGCAGTGTTGGTAGTGGTGGTGGTGGTGGAGGAGGAGTGGAGTGGTCAGGGGAGGGGAAGGGGGGGGAGGGGGGAGGTGCACTTGCTCGTGCGCATGCCAATTCGAGTAGCTTGCAAAGAATGGTTCTGACGGAGTCACACCTGCGGCAGTCTACCACCTGCAGCGCATACACATGTACACACTCGGGAAAAGTGGTGGACATGTCTGATGTGTTTGGGACAAAGGGGGGAGGGCTTGGCTATCGTGATTGTTAGTGTGATCGTGGGCAGGCAGTGTGCCGTGTGATCGTGGGGAGGCAGTGTGTCGTGTGATCGTGTGCAGGCAGCGTGCCGTGTGATCGTGGGCAGGCAGCGTACTGAGCACAGGCAGGTAGAGTGGATCGTGGGTATGCAGCGTGCCGTGTGATCGTGTGCAGGCAGCGTACTGAGCACAGGCAGGTAGAGTGGATCGTGGGCAGGCAGTGTGCCGTGTGATCGTGGGTGTGCAGGCAGTGTGCCGTGTGATCGTGGGCAGGCAGCGTACTGAGCACGGGCAGGTAGAGTGGATCGTGGGCAGGCAGTGTGCCGTGTGATCGTGGGCAGGCAGCGTACTGAGCACAGGCAGGTAGAGTGGATCGTTGGCAATGGCGATCATCAAGCCATGTCCGTGTTTGGCAGAGTGGTGGAGCAACAGCCAATGGCCAATGTCTGTAAGGTGGCACTAGCAATTTCTTCTTCTGAGCGGCGGCCATTGGCTGATGTCCGTCGTCACACATTGGCTCAAGCAGAGCGCGGCAACTGTGGTGTGTGGACTGTGACTGCAGCTGGGCGACAGAGACATATCTCTTTACCACCTTTACAGCGGCAACATGCCTATTCTGTACGGAGTAGCCAATCCTCCTGCCATGCAGCTGTACGGAGTGGCCAACTCACCGTGCGTCAAGTCGGCTGCCGATGCTCCAGCTGGGGCGATGTCACCTCGGCTGGGTGAGCCATCATCACCGCCGCCATCGCCCGGCCATCCCATCACTGCCACCAGTCCACGGAGTGTGGAGGAATGTGTAGGTGGAATTGAGACCGATGGAAGCGATGAGATGGTGGAAAATGGCCCACGCGAGTCGTGGATCCATCTGGCGCCGACTCCGTGCGGATGCCCAGTCCGCGAGCAGTTCGAGGTGGCGCCGGCCGGCGGCTCGATCCATCCCGCACACGCCCCGCATCCGTACACAACCCACGTCCAGGTCTTCCGGAGCGAAGAAGACGAGACTGGGCTCGATGGCTGGATTCCAGGAGATGTGGCGGCACGAATCGACGGCACGCGCTACTCGGTCACTGCAGCCGCACCCGACGCGCTAGCGTTGGCGGCGACGCTGTTTATCCCGGGCTGCTTCGAGATCAAGGTCCACGTCTTCGCGCTCGACGCGGCAGGCGCTGAGCCTGGTGATGCGGTCTTGGCGCACACACTGAACTACGTCATGAGGTCAGTGGCGTCGGCGGCGGTGACACTAACCGGCGCCGGCGGCTGCACGCTGGCGATGGGTAGCAACGGGCGGCGGGTGCTGCGGCTCTCGCCTACAAGCCCGTGCGCGCGAGTCAGCCTACTCGGTCCGCAGCTTGCGCCGGTCGAAGTTCGCGTTGTGCTGGTGTGGGACAGCGACGAGGCGCCGCCGCCGGCACGGACGCTGGCGCTGACGGCGACCGGCGGGCTGGAGACCATCGTCGAGCTGAGGAGCAAGGCACCTGCGGTCCTGCTCCCGCTAGTGGTCCTGGAGCCGTGGCGGGCGAGGGCGCCGACATCAGCTGAATGGACGCCGGGCCTGCAGCGGATGGACTTGATTATCCCCCGCTACAACTACACGGAACGGATCGAGCTCCAGTTTGGCTGACGCTTGCACTTTCTCACGCCCCGGTCCGAGCGCGCAGCCTACGAGCGCGCCAGCTCGGCTGCGACGCCGATGGGTGCGGGGGCGGGCCTGGCGGCGGCGCCGGGCGAAAGGCGACCGGGGCCGTGGCTGGTGGCGGACGCGGAACGCGCGCTGTAGCGTTCGCGGACCGCGGGGCACGTTTTGTGCGGCCGAGTGTAATCCGCCGAGTGATGTTGTGCATCAGCGCGCCATCATGGGTCGACTGCGTCCGCGCCGCCATGATGATGTAGCGCTTGCGGAGGGTAGCATACTTGTCCTCGGAAAGAAAGTCAGCTAGCGGCTCTAGCTCTAGTGCGGCAGCCTTGTAACGGTGGTATCTATCGAGTGGTGGCGCCCGATGGGCGGCCTTGAGCTTGCGGCGCATCTCCGCCACCTCCAGATCGCGCTCCAGCTCGACCATCCTCTTCTCGTGGATGGCCACCAGTCGCTGCGCGTGCCGACTAGCCCGCAGATCCCGTCGTGACTTGCGTTTCCGCGGAACGAGCAGCGGGAGGAAGCAGTCCTGCGGCGGGATGTGGCGAATAGCCCGGCCCTGCCGTGAGGTGCGTCGCTCTCAGCAAGCTCTTCCACCACCTCGGCTGGCGCCACAAGCAAGCCCGGCGGAATGCGTCCTGTGTTCCTTTCTGCCTGTCTACGGCTTGTCCCATCTCGCCCTCCTCTGCCTCCACCATGTGTTCCGACGAATCCTCCGCTAGTTCCCGAGGTTCCGGCTCCGGCTCCGGCTTTAGCACCAGTACCGCCACCGGCTGCGGCTGCAGCGAGGCTCGCCACCAGCTCTTCTGACGCAGCCGCCAGCTCCTCCACCCACTGGTGGGAGGCCACCGTCACATGGTCGCCTTCGACCACCATGGTATGGATGGGTGAGGTGGTAGTGGGTGTGCAGGTGATCAGTCTGTGGCGGTGGTGGTGGTGGGGTGGGAGGGCGGGAGGGAGGGAGGGTGTGCGTGTGGGTTGGCAATGCCAGTCGGTTGGCGGCTCAAAGTCCGGTCCTCTGGCTCTCGCTGGCGACTGGTGATGCATAGGCGACGGCTGCGTCATGCACAGGCTGAGAGCGCCTCATCGTATTACTGCTGATGTTTCTGCGGTCACTTGCGTGGCTCGTGGGCGAGTGAGAGAGCATACGCATCCTCATCCGGAAGGACCTCCATGTACTTGTCGATAAAAAGGCGGAGCTTAGGGAGCGGTTGCCAGGAGAACCAGCCGTCTTGATGGCGCTGGATGGCGAGGAGGATCTTGGCGATGGGCACAAAGTCGGCAAAGTAGTACTTGCCGTCGACCGACTGGCGGACGGCATCATAGGCAAAGGTTAGGTCGGTGAGGAACATGCCGAGATAGGGAAGGCAGGGGATGGCGGCGGTGGCAAGCTTGCTCCGCATGATGCGGAAATTCTTGGCCGGCGCGATGAGCGCCTTGAGCGACTCGTACACTGCCCAGCGTGAGTCATCGACCCGCTGCCACGACTTGCGCAACCGATGGACTTGCGACGATGAGAGCCCGGCCATGACCGCCATCATACCATTCATGTTGTTGGCGACGGTAAACTCGTACGCCAGGTCGATGAACCGCCCGATGAGCTCGCCGCGGACCTTGACCTTGCTCTCGCGGACAACAACCGACGCGACCCACCCAGAGAGGGTGTTGAACGAGCGGATGAGCTGAAGCACATGCGGCGCAGCATCTTCCTTGCCGGGCTTGGACCACGCGAGGCCGAGCAGCTCGCTGGTCTGGATCGACGAAAAACCACAAAGTCGGCAAGTGTGACCTGCTGCGCAAACGCGGCTGCATCGCCGGTCTCCACGTCAAAGAGAGACCGCGGATCCAGCCGCTGACGCGGTTGCGCTATCGCATCAAGGGCACCACCCTCGTTCTGCGGCGAGGAGTCCGAGCCTGCTGCTGCAGCAGCTGCCGCCGCCTCAGCCGCCTCGCGCTTCTTCTTTTTGCGCTTCAGCGTGCCGAACCGCGACTTGCGAGGCGTCGCGGCAGCGTCGGCTTCCTCACCCATCCGCGCCATCTCAAGGGCAGCAGCAAGCGTGTCGGTTGGGCTCGTGTTCGACCGCACCGGCACGGTCGGCCGCTGCGAGTGCGGATCCGGCGAGCGCGCCCTCGGCGTGGCGAGGCCGTGGCCTTCCGCGTCGAGCATGTCGACCTCCAACTTGGCGGCAGCGGTGACGACGTCGGCCTCGCGCTGCTCGGCGTCGGCCGCCGCGTGCGCCGCAGCCTGCAGCGACGCCTCGAGCAAGGCCACATCCAGCTCAGAAGGCGCAAGAACAGCATCCTTAAACGCGCGCAGCGGCGCCAGGAGCAGGCGCGACGCAGCGAGGAAGTCAGCGTACTGGTGCGACACCCAGAAAACAAGAAAGTCAAGTGCCATGCGCGCATGCGCCAACGAGACTAGAGTATTGCTTGGATGCATGGAGAGGAAGAGCCGATGCAGGAGCTCGATCGGCTCCATAAACACGCGATAGACAGCTAAAAAGTAGCGCCAATACTCGTCGCGCGGCTGCGAGGCAAAAAGCGCAGAGTAGAGCTGGGCCGGACTCGCTGCACTGGCCTCGGAGCCAGGAGCATCGCTGTCAAACGTCCACGGCTCGAGATCGGAAGCCCCCAGGGAATCGACCGACTCGACATGCTGGATAGTGATGACAACGTCGAGTCGGAGCGTGGCCAGGTAGTCAACCACGTCCAGCTTGAACGGGACCACAAGCCGTGTTCCACGCGGCGGAAGAACCAATGCTGGCAGCGCCGTCGACGACAGCGGGCGACGGCGTGGTGCGCGCCGTCCGGGCTTGACCGCGGGCTGTGGTACGCTGAGCTTGGCCCGGCTCGCCGGCGATCCGGACGACGGCGTCGCCGCGTACCCGCGCGGGATGAACGCATCCGAGGCAATCGGGTCCTCAAAGGCGCGGACAGCCGATGCCACCCGGCGCGCCACGGGGTTTGAGGCCGGAGCTGGCTTGGGCCGAGTCGACGGGCGGACCGACGGCCGCCTAGGCGGCCGCGATAGCGCGCGGCGCACAAGTTCAGCATCAGGCTTGGGCAGCGGCTGTGGCGGACATCGCGGCTTGGTTCGGAAGTTTGGACGACGCGGACGGGACGGACGAGTCGTGCACGAGTCGTCAATGATAGCGAGCGGGTGCGGGAGCGGCAGTGCGGCCGACTGCGGCAGGTCACGAACCGGCGAGTGATCACCGGGGGTGGAGAGCGGCGACGGGTCTGGCGAGACCTCCGGCGACGACATGCTCTCACCCGATGGCGGGCGCGAGAGTGCAACCGTGTTTGCCCGGACAGGCCGGCGGGCGCGCGGAGGCGGCGTCAAGCTCGACGACGGAGGAGTCCATCGCGCCCCGGTGGAGCGAGGCGACGCCGCCGCTGGAGTTGAGCCTGCGGAGCGCGGCCAGCTCGGTTGCGGGCGGCGCGAAGCTCGACGTGGTGACGGTATAGAGCCTGCAGGAGGAGAGAGTACACGACTGCCTTGTCTACTACCTCGTTGCCCGGCCCGACCCGGTCGACGTGCCGCACTCGTCACACTCCTTGGTTCCACAGCGGAAACGGCAGCACGGGCACCAGGCAGCCCCACCGCCACGTACACAGCGACTGACGGTGACTTTGGCGGAACTGGTGGCCGAGGCATGGCCTGTATATTGCTGAGAACGAGGGCTTGTCCGACACTCCACTTTCCAAAGTCGCTTCCTGTGTGAGAATTCGGGACGGGAGGGAGGAGAGGTGACTGAGTTGCTTTGCAAGCCTGCATCGGGGGCCGTCGCCGGCAGCCGACACGTCAAGCGTGCGCCAAAGCCTTTCGCAGCTGCCGCACGGAAAATGTAATCTTCTATGGTCACAAGAGCATGGTGATAGGGTTGGGGGGGTGGGGGGATGTTGTAGCAAGGCTTGGTTGGACTGATGCGCTGGGTGCTGGCGACGTTGGGCGCGATGGTGGACCGCGGGCTCAGGTCACGGCTCAGGTCACGCTACTCCGGATGTGTCTCAAGCACGAGCGGATTGGAAAAAAGTGTCGTCGGCGGACCGGCTGCTGGCAGTGGATCGAGGACGCTTGGCCAGCACAGCGCCATGTAGTGATGTCGTGCATGGGGGCGTAGGACTATTGTGCCGATCCGGTTGGAAGGGATATCTCCGAAGATGCATTGAGTGTAGACCGGATTCTGTGCGTGGTTTCGCTGGCTGCGGTAGCAGATGACGATGGATGACACTGTCGCAGGAGCCGCAGATGCTGTGCAGATGACTCGGCTGGATAGACAGCAACGTATGCCCCTACCCACAGCCTTTACACCCGCAAGCGTAAACAGCCGTCCGTGGTCTCTCTCCATCAAGTGGTCGAAAAAGGCTGCCGTCGCGTTCGGCTGGCCGGAAAAAAGCAAACGTTGAATGCTCGTGGTAATATGGTCACTCCACTCATTGTTGTCCTCCCCCCCACCCCCCCC